ATCATCTCTTCCCTCTGACAATTCCTTTCCCCATTTCATGCAGTTAACTTACTCATTATCTCTATTTGCTTGTATGGTCTCAAGACCACCACTTTCTTTCACTCGATGACAAACTCTTTAATGGCAGGAATTGACAAGGAGCACCCACAGGTTGGATGCATAAATGGATGAATAACAAACAAACATCAACTGTCAGAGCCAGGCTGCCTTTAATTTAGACTGGGAGGATGGGAGATTTTTTCCCTACGATCAATAAGTCAGGACTTGAATACAAGCCCAGGACTGTTTCCGAACTATGCTGTGTCACAAGACACAGCTCAGATCACATGTTTTATGACATCACAACCTTTGCCCCAACACGCAATAGCTCCTTCTGGTCAAGGACCCACTTTTGGAAAGGGGTACCTGATTTCCCTCAACCTGAAAAAATTCTTATAGGATGCAACCTGTTTCCTAAGGCCCTCCCAGTCCCAATCAATGTACAGGATGCCAGGAACAAAGGAAGTTGTAGGGTCACTCACCATGATGCATAACCATATTCAGTAACCTTGTAAAGGTACTAATGGTTCTCCCTCAAATTAACATCATCATCTCATTGGCGTGGAGTCAGAACCAACTCACAGATGACCCTGTGACTGGACTTCTGAGGCTGTAAACGGCTCAGGAGACTGCCCATCTTTCTCATGCAAAGATCTGAACCGACAGAGGAACTGCCTTTGGGTTAGCAGTGCAATGTTATACGGACTACATCACTTCTCCCTCAAACTGTTAGGTGCTGTCAAGTTGACTAGGACTCACAATGACCCTATGATCAGCAGATCTGAACCCAGCCCTGTCCTGCAGCACCCTCACCATTGTCTCACAGTCACCGTGTCAATCCACCTTGTTGAAGATCTTCCTTTCTTTCCTGGACCCTCCACCTCCCCCAGAACATCATCTTCCAAGGACCATCCTGAAAACATGCTCAAAGTATATGAGACTTAACACTTCTTGGGGATGAGCCAGAGAGAAATAGGGCTCAATACTGACCTATTTTACACTATCCTACCTTCACATACAGGAATGGCTTTTAGACAATTACATCTTATAAGGGAAAAGGAAAGAAAAATCACAACAAAACACCTGCCAATTCCAAGGAATAAAGTTCATATGAATCATCATCATTCCACATAATAATATCAAGAGGCTTTGTTCCTGGCACATTTTGTTCTACTTACCTCATCTTTTCTCATTTTAATTATAGTACTTTTCCTGGTAACCTACTTGCAAACGTCTCAACAGAAAGAGTTGCTTTAACAAGATCACACAGGCATCATTATTTCACGTTTTAGAACATAGATAATTATGCAATAGTCAAAGCCCATCCACACACGCACAAAATGACAAAAACAAGAAAGGACAATGTGACTGTAAGCTACTTCTTGCTTCTCCCAAGCTTCTTTTATTTTCCCAAAGATAATTTTATTAATATATGGTTGGTGGGAGTGTAAAATGGTGCAACCCCTGTGGAAAGCAGTATGGCGCTTTCTCAAAAAGTTGCAAATAGAGATACCATTTGACCCAGCAATTCCACTACTGGGAATAGACCCTGAAGAGACCATAGCTGACATCCAAGCAGATATATGTACACCCATGTTTATTGCAGTTTTGTTCACAATAGCAAGGAGTTGGAAACAACCTAAGTGCCCATCAACAAACGAATGGCTAGAGAAGCTGTGGTATATTCGCACAATGGAATACTATGCTGCATTAAAAAACAAGGAACTCATGCAATATTATTAAAAATGGTTGACTCTGGAGAACATTATGCCGAGTGAAATATCCCAGTCACAAAGGGACAAATATTACATGATGCCACTGTTGTAGAATGGGACTGTCCTTGGGGTTGGGGAGAGACTGAGTAAGATGGGTTCAATGATGTGTGCTGCACTGAGGCGGAGGAGGGAGGGAACTGTTTAAAAGAGATATATAACTGGGTGTTTCTGTCATCACAGGAGTCTACAGCGAGGGCTGCATGGTGGAGGGGACCTGGGGGGGGGGAGTTGTGGAACAATGAAAGAATCTTTTCTTTTACTTTTCCATAATTTTTGACTCATGTACTTATAACTTGTTAGTCAAATTTGTGTCTTCTAGGTTGCAACACCCCCATGATACATCTTCAAGGATATGAACATGTATGGCCAAGCACAATCAATAAGAGTGCATCTAAATTCCAAAATCAATCTCCATAATAGTCTATGTGTTTCCTACTGCCAAAGGGGCCCTTTAGAGTAGTGAGAGAAGATCTTCACCCTGAAACCCACAGCGTCCCTTTTCAGCAGGAAGTAGCTAAGAGAATACGCCATCCCCTTTTCCTTATGACTCAGGGTGAAGTCTCTCTCAGGGAGGAGTGATAGGGAATGGCAAAGGACACACTGACAAAGAAGATTAATCAGAACTGGCTTTGACAAGCACTGTGGCATTTGGACAAGAACAAACTGGGAGGAGGGTAGAGAGAATGGTGCGGCGGTGAATGAATGGAAACCCAAAATCTCTGTAAATGTTTATGAAAATTAATAAAATATAATTATAGAAAAAAAATAAAAAAAATATATGGTGATGCAGTACATATGAACTGATCTTTGTACCACCTCAACCAAGATGAAGCAGATAAAGCTGTATTGTACACAAGTGTAGGTCACCCTGAGCTTCAACCAAAGGCTGAAAATAATTCACCAAAACCAAAATCAACCACAAATAAAAACAATATTCATCTTTAAAAAGTGACCCATTACCAAGACACGCATCCAATTAACTTTGTAATGCTTGAATACTGAATTGTTTATCCCTGAAATGGGCCAAACTTGCTTTGGCTTTTAAAGCTTAATGAAAAAAAACAAAACAAAACACAAAAACCAAAAACCAAACAACCCACAACACACCTTCTTAATGGAAATATCTCTTATTGTCACATTCTGGATAATTCAAGTTTTTCTTTCTGTATTATTTTTTACCATCTTAAATACATCAACCTAACTGGCTAAGCTTCATTAGTTACAGTCGTTACAGTGTTAAGACCAAAGATTTTCTCTTTAAAAAAATTACATTTGAATACAATGAAGAATGAAAAAAACCAAAATCTTAAAAAGTCAAATGCCAATCTGGAAAAGCACTTTACCCTGACTTAAAGCCGTACTTTGGGAAATGTTACTAAAGATTTCATTAAATTAGTAAAATTAACACCTTTATTTTCAGTTTTGATGCATAATAAATGTTCCAATATGAATTTAACATCTGATAAAGCAGACTTGGGAAAAGTTTTTTACAAAAACTTATGCCTTTCAATCCTTGAGAAGCACTAAGCAAAGCCTCTGATGTGGCTTGGACAGCTGGGAGCACTCTGAAATGTAAAAGACCGAGAGTGGTAACAGGCAAGTAGGCCTCCCAGGTACCCCTAAAATCCTCCTACAGGATTCCTTTTCATGACTTCTAAATCCAGGGACCACAGGACAAGGATTTCTAAAATGGACCATTTATTAATCAACTGTAATTAATGCAGTAAAAAAACCCACATGTATATGAATGATCCCACGAGAACCATGGTTTGTAAACTTTCAGACCAACAAAAGCTGCATCACACTGTAGAGGCAGAGGTTTCAGTGGAGTGGCTCAGCAAAGGTGAAAACTATACTCCCGATATAGCTGGGAGCCTCAAAGCCTCAAGATTCTCACCAACGTCCTTACTCTCAATGGCCAGTCAATTACCGAACACAAGTAGGTCTTGTCGGCTCCTCAACCCTGAGCTGACAGACGGGCCTCACAGGTTGAAATTGGTATGTAAACTGGCAAGTACTGGGACCTAAGAGGACACACTAGGTACACGGCAGATCTGTGTTCAGTGAGGGGGGCTAGAATTCTGACTTAGCAGTGTGTCCGTTTCCTCTGGTTGTGTTCCTCTTCTTCCAATGCAGCTGTTGTGTACTCTCAAATCGGAACCGATTCAGAGTTGACCCTCCAGCAGGTTTACAGAGGCTGTAAATTGAATGGGAAGACACTGCCCATCTTTCTGCCATGGAGCAACTGGTGGATTCAAACTGCATGCCTCTGGGTTGGCAGAATCATCTGCTCCTGATCTGTCTGGCTTCAGCATACCTAACAACCTCAGGACCTCATCATGGACCAGGAGAAAGCAGGGCGGAAACACACAATGAGGAAAATCCTGGGATTCTTTTTCTAGGGATGTAATACATAGTGCAAATAAAATGCCTCAATGAGGGGGGATAAAACCAACCAACTTTACTTTTCATATCCTTCTATGCCACTTTCTCTCTTTGGGTCATCACTGCCTAGGTTTCTATTTGGTCCTTATGGTCTTAATCCAATGTTTCCTCAAAATTAAACTCAATTTGCTCACCAATGGGTTCATGAACCTTATCTTCAGGAAGGGACTGTATTTCAGCAAGCCAAGGCAACAGGCTAACTTTTCAAAGAGTCTCTCTTTTTTTTAATAATCAAAACCAGTATACGTTTAATTTGAAGAAAATTATTTGGAGATTAAAACATTTAAATTCTCTTTACACTATTAAAATTTCACAATAAGCAAGGTCTGAGGTATTTTAAACTTACTTCTCTGCCTTGGTGAAGAGAATATTCAAGCCATTTATGAATCCTTTTCTTTGTTAAGGTGTCACAATGTTAGAAATCTGAAACTTTGTGTTTGTAAGTGTCTGAACACTTATTTCCCCTCAGCACTCCACCCATCTTTATTTGAGGGGAAACCACCCCCAAGTACTGTCTGACTGATCTATGAGGCTTTGGGTGGAGAGTGCATTTTGAAGCCAACAAAAATCAAGGCTTAAGAAATTCTATGACAAAAAGATGATGTGAACACGGCACTGTAAGAGCCCCCCAAAATTACCTTTATTCTCATGAAAGTAACCTTAAATGAGAGGCCATTATATTGTAGAAATGAAGTAAAACTAAAAAAACAAATGGCGAATATCCCCCCAAACCACTTTTACCTCCAATGCCAAGGCGGTCTTGTCATAGGCACAGGGCACTCTTTTCTGGATTGCTTTTGCAAAGACAGGTCCGTTTTGTGTGGATGGCAAAGGGTTAAGGGTGGCCCCAGGAGCACTGGAGCCAGCAGGGAGGGGAGCTGTTGTCTGAGGTTGTGCATAGGCGTGGGCAGGTTCCGGGATGCCATAACTGTTGGAATTCCTGTTCCCATGTTTCCCATGAGGGGAGGACCTCACGAGCTTTTCCACATAAGGGACTGGGATCATGCCAACCCGGCCGTCCTTGTTCCGGGCACTCCACCACTGTTCTTCAGGCTTCTCCAGGATCACCAGGATCTCACCCTTTTTGAAGGGCAAGTCTTCAGCATCATTCCCAGTAAAGTCATACAGAGTCCGTACATACTCCATGTTTTCTTCTGCTGGAGGAAGGCTGGGTGCTGACATAGATGCCATCAGTGGGCTTGGATACCTTAAAGGAGAGAGATAAAAGGCCTTCTAAGAAAGAAATTTTACTCTATTCCAATCAATAAATTCTTTTCCTCTACAATGAATGAGTTCTATTTCAGCTGTCATATTTATTATACTCTGTAACATTAAAAAACCCCACAAATTAGTACTAAGACTCTTTTCAAGTGACATGTCAAGTTCATTCATATACTTCTCCACTGCTGTTTTACAAGAATCTTTTAATTCAATTAACTTGCTGCATTCCTTAGGACCCTGTCACTAGACACTGCACACCCTTGCTCCCAGACCTAATCCATGGCTTAGAGACTGCACACTTCCCCCAGGAGCAGAGAGACAAATATGGGAATCTCCCACTGACCATGCATGAAGACTGCTGAGCAGACCATGACAAAGCTCTCTGGCTTGTGCCTATCAACATAGGAAAACCAGAGGAGGTCTCATCAACTTCCCAAGTGAAAAAAATCCTCCCCCCAAAACAAAACAAAAAAACCCCGCAAACAAACCCAAATCACCTACAAACAAGTAGACTCATCTGATCAACAAGCCAAAGCCACCTGGAAGTTCTAAGCAGCACTTTGCTGGGTTCACAACAGGAACTCCCAGAGCCAGTGAGAAAGACAGTCCCCACTCTACCACAATGCAATGCTCCTTCTGCAAAAAGAAATCTCTTTACTTAGAGAATGTTCTGAGAAGTTACTTCTACCAAGCTTTGTTATCTGGACACCTATTTACCAGGGAGATTCCAACTCAAGGTTTTCTTTTGTGTGTGTGTGTGTTTTGTTGTTTTGTTTGTTTGTTTGTTTTTTTAAATTTATTTTATTTCATTATTTTTTGTGTGTACCGTCAAATCAGATCTGACTGATATAGGAGGAGATTGTTCCTCCTCCAGCAGAGCATCTGGTGGATTCGAACCGTGCATCTCTGAGATTGCAGTTGCAGCTTCTTGCCACTAGGCCACCAGAGTTCGCCTCAAGGTTTTCTAATGAGAGTCAGAACAGAGCTGTGTTCCACAGGGTTTTGCCAGGCCTTCTTTTGAGGAAACTCACCAATCTTCCATCAGCTGTGGACACAGACTACTTCCATCCCCAGGAATGAGTAGAAACTTCTGTTAGGGTATATACCCAAAAGATTTGAAAGGTGGGTGTCTAACAAATACATACCTAACAAACTGCGTATTTGTATCTTCATAATATACAAAAGACTGAAAGAAGTCCAATTCCATCAACAGATAAATATATTTTGTTAAATCTTACTAGGGCCTGAATTTCAGGGAGCTCTGGTGACCTAGTGCTAAAAAGCTGCAGTGTAAACCCAAAGATGGGCAATCTCTTCCTATGCAGTGCTGTTTCTGTTGTTAGGTGTCATAAAGTACAACTAACAGTAATCTTGTGAACAATGGATCTGAACCTTGTCCTACCACCTGTACCATCCTCATCATCTCTGACATACTTGGACCTACAGCTACAGTCATTGTGTCAACCCATCTTGTTGATGGTCTTCCTCTCTTCTGCTGACCTTCTACCTTTCCAAGGATGATGTCCCTTTTCCAAGGAATGGCCCCACCTAACAACATACCCAAAGTATATGACACAAGACTTTGCCATCCTTGCTTCTAAGGAACACCCTGGTTGTACTTTCTCTAAGATATCTATTCTTTTGGGATATTCAGTGTTCTAAATAGTCAGTGGAGTTTCAAAGGCAGTTAATCACACCCATCCTTCTCCCTTAGAGTGACCAGTGGATTTGAACTGCATGCCTTTGGGACTGCAGTGCAGCTTCGCACGACAGGGCCACCAGAGCCTCTCTAGAGGTGGGTTGTTGTTTGTTGTTATGTGCCCTCGAGTCCTTTCCCGACTCATAGCGACCCTATGCACAACAGCCCTAAACCCTGCTCTAACCACAATGCCTCTGACACACCCATCCCGATTACCCCAGTCACTGAATGGATCCATCTCATAGAGGGTCTTCCCCTCCTGCGCTGTCCCTCCACCCTCCCAAGCATGATGTCCCTCTCCAAGGACCCGTCCCTCCTGGCAACATGTCCAAAGTATGTCAGACGAAGCCCCAGAATCCTTGCCTCCAAGGAGTAGCTTGGTTTAATCCTCTCCAAGATGAATCTGTTTGTTTTCCTGGCAGTCCATGGTACATTCAGTACCCTTCTCCAGCACCACAGCTCAAAAGCATCCACTCTCCTTCTGTCCTCCCTAGTCATTGTCCAACTCTCTGACGCATAACAAGCGATTGCAAAGACCATGGCCTGTATCAGGCGCACCTTAGTCTCCAGAGAGACACTGTTGCTCCTGAGTACCTTTGAGGTGGGTAGGAGGGAGAAAAACAAACCAACCAACCCCTATTGCTTAAGGTAGACTGTTTTCTATTTTAAAGATAAAAAAAATTTAGAAATATAGTGGTAATGATTACATAATACGAATGTAGTTAGTATCACTGAATTATACACATGAAAATGGTTAAACTGGCAAATATTTATCAGTTGCATCACAATTTAAAAGCCCAAACATGTGACTACTTTTTAGGTCCTACAAATTGTTACACTGCTTCCCCCAAGTCTTCATAATATGGAAAAACTCGTAATAATTATTGCCATTTAGTTCAAACTAACTGACCTTCCAGCAGATTTTTCATTAGAGTGCTCTATTGACTATGCAAAGGCATTGAACAGTGTGTATCATAATAAGTTATGGCTAACACCAAGAAGAATGAACAACTCAGAACACTTGATTGTGCTCATACAAAACCTATACTTAGACCATGAGGCTGCTATCCAAACAGAACATGGAACACTGTATGGTTTAAAATCAAGAAAGGTGCGTATTAGAGCTGTATTCAACTATGCTGAGCCTATCACTCAAGAAGCTGGACTTTATGAAAAAGAATCAGGATTGGAGGAAGACTCATAAACAAACCGTGTTATGCAGATGACATTGCTTGCTGAAAGCGAGGACTTAAAATGCTTGAGGCAAAAGAGCAAAGACTACACCTTTCAATAAGGCTTATATATCAACATCAAGAAAGTAAAATCTTTACCACTGGGCCAATAGGCAATATTATGATAAATGGAGAAAAGAGTGAAACTAGCAACAACTTCATCTTACTTGCACCCACAATCAACACCCTTGGTACCAGTAGTTGGGAAAGGTATGTCATTGGAAAAGTCGGCTGTTAAGGACCTCTTCAAAGTACTAAGGAGCAATGATATCCATTTACAGACATCCACCAGATTTAAGCCATGGTCTTTTCAATTACTTGCAATGCATCTGACAGCTAGAAAATGAAATAGATGACAGAAGAAAAAGAATCTATGGCTTTGAGTTTTGGTGTTGAAGAGAAATGACTATCCCCTGGGCTGCCAAAAGAAAAGATGTCCTGGAGAAGGTATAGCCAGAGTGTTCCTTTGTGGCAAGGACAGCAAAATTTTGTCTCATACTTTGGCATGTTAACAGAGGACATTCCTTGGCCAGGGACATCATGCTCAGAAAGGCAGAAGGACTGACAGTGACTGCAGCAATAGGTTCAAGTATGTCAGAAATGATGAGAATGGTATGGGAAGGATAGTTCAGATCCCTGATTCACAGGATTGTTATGAGATGTACTCAACGGCACCTAACAACAACAAAAACACTGCACATGAAAGACTGCCCATCTTTCTCCTGAGCAACAGCTGGTGGAGTTAATCTTTGACTTGGCAGTTGAAATCCTTACTTACTAGACTCACAAGAGTTAATTAGTTTAACAGTAAATACACCATAGTGAATAGGAGCTTGATTTCGAAACTTCAAAGGCCTTTTTACCTATTACTAACAATGTTATTACCAAGGATAAATTACAGTATAATTCACCTGAAAATGAGGTAACAGTAATAGGAGGTGCAGCAATAATAATAAGCACTCATTACCTCATGCTCAAATTATGACTTGTACATAAATTTCAATACGAACCATATGTGAACTGATCTTCCTTGTAAAACTATTAATTATCCTATCATTGACAGCTTTAGAATTCAGGACATGTAATTTTTAACTATAATTTGAGTGAAAATTATTTGATTCAAGCATCCATCCACATTTTTGTTTTATAACTACAATATTCATGATGCAACTGAACCCTTTCCTCTTCCATCCTGTAATTCTAATATCCATTAATTCTTTATCTATTTCATCCCTTTTAGTATTGACTGGGGTAATCAGGATGGGTGTGTCAGAGGCCATGCGATTGGCACAGGATAGAGCAGGGTTTAGGGCTGTTGTACACAGGGTCGCTATGAGTCGCAAACAACTCGAGGGCACATAACAACAACAACAGTGCTCGCTTCGGCAGCACATATACTAAAATTGGAACGATACAGAGAAGATTAGCATGGCCCCTGCGCAAGGATGACACGCAAATTCGTGAAGTGTTCCATATTTTCGACCCTGAAATGAACCAGTCTGTAACGAAGGCTAACTCCTAACTCCTTTCACCTACAAATTTCGTCTTTGGATACAAAGCTAAGTGGATAGTCCTTACTGAGGGACTGTTTAAAAAGAGGCAGGGAGAAGAAGAGGAAAAAAAACAAAAACAAAACAACAACAACAACAACAGCCAGTCCCTTCATATCTGTTATTTACTTATTTTTACTCCCATCACGCTCTTTCTCTAGTGTTCATAGGGTTTTCAAAGGCCTGTTATTTAAGAAGTAGCCATAAATCCTGTTTCTTAGTCTGCCTTAATCTGGGAGCTCCACCAAACCCTGTCCACCATTGGTAACCCTTATTTGACACACAAGTGGGACAGCTTTCAGTATCCCAGCAACCTCAAGTCATCTCAGTACAGCAAACTGACAGACAAGTACTGTACCGCTTAGAACAATGTTCTCCCCAATTACAATTGACGGCCAGGGCCACAGGCACTCTGGGCTCAACCAAATTTTAAATACAAAGGCCTGCCCACCAAGTCCTGATTGATTTAAATCAGCCCACAGCAGAATGTTAACTAAACTCAAAA